GGTACCTATGGATTGTAACTAATGATGCCTACCTTATACTTGCAGGGTACCAGTCACGCGCCACAGTTTCGCCGGGATCCCCGGCATCGCGACTGCAACGACATTGGGTTCACTCCTAACGTGCTACCTTCACGTCCGAAGCGACAGAGGCGTTTGCGGTACCCGTACACTCCTGGGACATAGGGTCTAGAGTTTGAGTAATGTAGGATGACATGGAGAACTCGACTTATGTTGACGATGAACTTGTATTTGCAAACTAATGTACTTCGTGAACTTATGTACTATGGAACTCTTCTTATTTGCTGTGATGACGAACGTGCTTTAACTTCATCGATAAACTTAGCTTTTTCCTTAATTTTTTCGTCTCGACAACCAACGCGAGGCGAGGCAAGGCGTTGGCGAGACGAGGCTAGGAGAGGCGTTGGCAAGGCGAGGCAAGGGTGTTGGGCAAATGAACGAAATGCCACCTCTTTCTTCCTATTTTTTCCCATGTCAATGACTGCCATGCCATGCGGTCCGCGCGTCGGCCTTGCCGCGCTAGGCGGGGTGATGCGGCGGCTTGCCGTGCTGCGCGGGGTGGCGTGGTGGCTTGACGCACCGTTCAGGGTGGCACGGCTAAACCTGGAACACCCCCACCCCACCCCAGCCAACGCGACCCAACCCGAGCCAACCATCCATCACCCCAAAACCTGGCGCGGCGGCGGGAGAGCACGAGACGCCAACGCCACCCATCATGGCAAAGCCAAGCCGAGCCGACCAGGGAATCTTCTTGGCACTGTCACGTCTCGCGTGCGTTGCTTGCCTCCCTGGCTCCCTTTCTCTCTCGCTCAAAAGTTGCTAGAGCCCTCTTCTCTCTGTCCAACCCCCAACCATGGATGAGGCGCAAGGTACGTCTCTCTCTCTAGGTGTCATCTACCCTTTTTAGATGGATTGACAACGTCTAGGCTTTTCAGATGGATTGACAGTGTCTAGGCTTTTCAAAACCTATAGCATCTAGGCTTTTTAGTGATTTATCATGTCACCGTCGTATCGTACACAGGCTTTTGCAGATTTCGAATAGACTTTTCAGTAAACGAGTCTAGGTTTTTCAGTGTCCTTCCAAATAGGCTTTTCAATGATAGTATGTAGCCTTCTCAAGACCATTTACGCCTATTTACAACGGCTACTAAACCTGCCTCTGCCTATATATACGCATTGCTAGATGCATTGTTACTATCTTCAAAATGAGTTTTTGCTTTCATTGGAGTAGGAATGTCTGGAGGGTCATCTAGAGGAAAGGGAGGGAGGAAGGGGACTCCCGTTGTGTGGGAAGGGTCTCTTGGTCCTGATTTCTTTGATGAAGCTGTGTATGAGTTTCCAGTTGAGAGCAAAAGTGATTTCTCCTACGAGGCACCTCTCAGAGGATACGATAACCAGAAAGAAGATTGGCCAAAATACATGCATGGTGAGGACTGTTTAGTGCAGATGTTCACCGAGGGGGTGGATGGAGGTCATCATTTCTTCAAATGCTTGCAAGCATGGGTAATTGTTATTACTATTCGTTTGTTAAATATGTTTCTCTTCTTTACTAACACTTATAGGAGATATTTATTACAGTCTTCCGAGGCCAAAGAAAACTGTGGGTTCACTCGGTGGGTTGATCCTCGTCCTATTTATCCGCATCAGCAGTACATCTACTACCTGCATGGCCGTATCTTCGATCTAGAAAGGGTAGTTAGCAGCGGTAAGAAGGACGACCAAGACGATGACAACAACAATGGTGCTGGTTCACAGGAGACACTCTGCACTGATCCATATTGCAACTGCCCTTATCACAAGAACAAGGGGCCTCCGCTGCCACCGCCACCGCCACCACCACCGCCGCCTACACTGGGAGGGCACTGTAGAGAAGGTTCAACACAATTTGCTATGTGGCCACATTACTAGGAGTAACCTATCTTACTCACGTGCCACATCCATGTGTTTGTTGTTTGGTTTAATTACCTAAGGCATGTTAGGTTTAGTACATGACCTCTTTACCGTTGTTTGGTATAGGTCCTCACATGCCATTTCATATGTTGTACGTGTTCAATTGTGTACTGCAGTACTTCTTTGCTTTTAATTCCATTACGTGAACTCGTTACATTACGTCGTCATTATTGAAATGAATGAAACAACAACATAGTTACAAAGTGCAGTACATGGACAAAGTAACAAATACATTACTTGACTAAAAGATGCAATACATGGCAACCCAATGAAAAGTCCAGTACTTGACAACACACTAAAAACTCCAGTGCATGAAAATACGGTGGAAAATGCAATACTTGACAACATTGTTCATGACTAAACCATAGAAGTACCAAATCTAGCAAACTACTGAGTGCAACGAGGCCACTTTCCCTTCCTCAGAGCATCGGGATTCTCCTCCATTGCTGCTTTCGCACAGCGAACGCGCTCAAGCTTCTTCTCCTTCTCCTCCCTGAGCTGAGCAGCATGCCTCATTTCAGCCTCTTCTGCGTGCTCCTTTTCTGCTGCCTCCTCTTGGCGTCTCTTCTCCACTAACTCCTTGCGCTCCGCCTCCTACTTCTTCAATTTCCCCAGATACAACTTGTCTTCCTCCTTGATCTCGATGTCGATCCACTGCTCAAAATCACAAAGCGGTGGAGGGGTCTGCAAAACATGCAACTGTTACACATACAACCTAATAAACCATGCATGATTTCATATGACACATAAAATAATATTGCACAATATTAATTTCTCACCATCAACCCAATGCGGATCTGATGAGGTGTAGGGTCAAACGCGTAATTGTCACACATCTAGTACCTCTGCTTGTACGTTTCCTCCTCATCAGAAATCTCTACCTTGCAGGGATCACCGCAGGCACTGGAACACCACTATGAAGTGGCAAACATGTGAATGCAGTTCCTACCAACGTCCTATTCCAAATTTTGAATAAATCAATCCTAGGGTTTCCATTTCGTTTTAGGAACCAAGAACAAGAAACTCTACAAATCAATCGTAGGGTATACCTTGCTTTGGAAGATTTACTATGTCTTGTCATCTCCGGAGGCCGATCTGGATGGAGGATGGAGGGAGGGGGCGGTGGAGAAGGGAGATCTGGAGGGGAGGAGGGCGAGATCCAGTGGAGGAAGAAAGGGACTGAGGGAGAGAGGAGAAACGAACTGAGGGAAGGAGGAGGAAAGGAGCCAACGCGCGGTTCTGTATCCGTCCTCGCCGCGCCAGGCAGGGTGGCGCGACAGAACCTGCCACGTCAGCTGGTCAGCGCTCTGCTGACCAGCCTCGCCGCGCCACCATGCATGGTGCGACAGTATGATTTTGCCGCGCCATGCAGCTAGGCGCGACCAAAATTGTTAGTTTTTTTTTAAAAAATCAATGTTAGATTTAAAAAAGTGTTAAAAATAAAAAAAATCACTTTCCCAACCCCGCCGCCGCCCCACCCACCCCACAGACCGCGAGACCCATCAAACCAACCACAGATCCGTGCTCTCCGCTCCCCGATCTACCTCCCCATGGCAGTTTTGAGGTCGATCCACACCACCTCGAGGCGCAATCAGTGGAGGACCCCCAAGTCCACAGCCATGTCCCTGGTCCGTGCAAGATCGAGCTTGAGCGCCCTAGTGAGAGAGCGCCCCCCCACCTCTACCCACGCCGGCGACCCTCCTAGTGTTGGCGTCCACCCCCAAGCCATCTGTCATCCCATCCTCGGTTTCACTCCTTGCCCAGCGCCCGCTAGAGCTGACATCTGAAGAAGAAGAGGAAGAGGGGGAACTCGTCCACTGGGATGACGACGACGACGACCTTGAAGCCGCCTCTCCCACCACCCCTGACGCCTTGGGCGAAGAGACGCTGGCAGGCCTGGGAGCTGGGTGCGCCGCGCCCCCCTCCGGGGCATCCCCGGCTCCAAGATCCGGTGGATCCTCCGCGGTACCCTCGGCGGAACCCTCGATCCCATCACCTGCTCTGGTGCTTGCCGCCCCTGCGTCTGGAGATGTCGTGGCGTTGCCCCGCCTGAAATCCATCCTGGTACGGCATGCTGCGCCCCCTACAGCTGGGAAGCAGGCGGACCGGGGGATGGGTGAGCCATCTGGTGCTAAGGCATTGCAGAGTGCCCCTGTTTCGCCAGAATGGCGAAGCGCGAAGACTGGACGCCGCCGAAGAAGAGATGGCTCTCCACTTTGGGACGCCACAGGCCCCATGCCGAAGCCCAGGCGTGCGCTGGAAGCAGGTTGTGAGGCCTTCTTTAAGCAGCTCACCGGTCGCTGCTTCAGGTGTCTCGCCTTTGACCACCTGGTTGCAGTCTTGCAGACTGCCGGGATCCCATGCGCTGCCTCACGTGCAAGGGTGTCGGACACTTCTCCCGCTCCTGCCCTGCCCGTCGGCCACGCGCAATCTCTTCCCAGCTCCGTGCTAGGCTAAATCCCCCACTTCATTCCCTCCACTGCATTGCGACTGCTCCGCCGACATCACCGCTAAGCTTGCAATGGAGTACACCCCTCGACGCGCCCATCTGGGTGCAGGTCCGGTGGACTTCTTTAAGTGACTCGCTGGTCGCTGCTTGAGGTGCCTCGCCTTCGACCATCAGGTTGCAGACTGCCGGGATCTCGTGCGTTGCCTCATGTGCATGGGTGTTGGGCACGTCTCTCGCTCCTGCCCTGCACGCTGGCCGCGCGCCACCTCCTGACCTCCTTCAAGCTCCGCGCCCATCGCGACTGTTCCTCCGACATCACCACCAAGCTTGCAATGGACTACCGCCGGGCGCTCTTTGATGGCCATGGTGACTAGGCCATGGAACGCGGCCGCGACCAACGTCGCTCGCATGTGGGAGGGACTACATCCCCCATGCCTCGGAGGACTGGAAGCGCCGCCGCTCACGCTCCCCAGTCCGCCGGGGAAGGGCCTGGGACGCGGATCTCCGCCAACCCTCCCCTGACCGCGTCGCCCAGGCGTGCATGCACTCGCCTCTGGCCTTTTGCCAAGCAGGGGTGGCTGACATGGAGCCAATGGATCGCGGGCGTTCCCGGAACCGCTCACTTTCGAGGCCAGTGCACAGCCGCGGCCATCACCACTCAATCCTGGTGAGTCCAGATCCTCTAGCTGACCTGTGCAGGACGCTGGTCCAAACAGGAGGCATCCATTCTCGAGAGGAGGATCCCATGATCCAGGAATCCCTCTCCTGGACAGACGGCGCAGCTCTTCCCCACTTCTCGCCGGAAGGTAGCAAGGAGACGCCCTGCTCCTCAGCGAACCAGCTTGTCCCGACTATGGAGACTGCGGGCCAAAATCCCCAGGCTTTGGCAGGCAGGTCCTCGGATGACGGCGAGGTAGGCGACGCCTCCCGTATGGAAGTCGGCACGGCGGCGGTGCACGCGTCTGCTACACCGAACATCGATTCCGGCAGGGAGGGATACCCCACTGTTGATCACGACCTCTACGATGACCCTAACGCAGACCGGGTGGACGACATCCATGACTTCTGCAGCGCCATCTTCAAGAGCGTCCCTGAACCACTGCTCCTGCGCCCGACCTCCCCATCGAAACGGGTCTGCAGCAAACGCACGGGAAGGAAGCGGAAGAACATGGTCGCCACCCCGCTCGAGCATGCGCCTCGCGGCGCGCCCATCATCGGTGTCGGTGGCTGAACGGGCCCAGAGGAAGCTGATGCGCGAACTCAACTTCATCAACAACCCGTTGCCGGAGCCTGATGCAGCTGTCACCGCCTATGTGGATATGTATGCTGATGATCTGCCGGAGCAGGCCGTCATGGCGATCAGGGCTGCCACGCGCCTGAGCAACAAGAAGCTGGCCGAAGCACTAGCGGCTATAGCACAGGAGATGGAGGGGGCTGAGATGGAGGTTCCATGAAGCTTAGATGCAAGACCGGTGTTGTTATGTTTGTGATCCATGTATTGTAGACTAGAGTCAGCACTGGCCGGTCTCCTACCGGTGGAGCTAGGAATGCCTGTGTTCGTGATGAGTTTCTAGGAAAGGTGGACCAAATGCTGTTTGGGAGCTGGTGGTGGCGAACTTAAGCCTAGAACGGTTGCACAACTTCCTAGTATGTAATAAGCTCATGTAGAACCTCAAACCTTCGCAGCCTAGGCTGCGGATGGTAGCACCACTCGCGCATGTAACAGCTGTTTGCTAACTTATTATAAATCAAAGCCGGGAAACCGGATCTTTCAAAAAAAAAAACAAGGTGTTCTTAGTCATGCATATGTCCAGGTGAAGTTTTCTTCATCGTTAATTAGTTGACTTTGTGGTGTGTTTGGTTCAATTCATTTTATCCTTTCTTGTTTTTGCCCCTTCCCCTCCTTTCTCTCTTTAAATGTGCAACTTCTCCATCATCTACAAGGAGAAATTATATAAGAGTAATGATGCTTCAAGTTCAACGAAACGTCTAACTGGTTAACTAAGAGAAAGCTTAGCAAAATAAAAGGTTACTACATAAGAGAAAATGAGACATTGCTTGTAGTTATCTCCTTTAATTTCAACAAGTTAGAGTTACTAAATTTTGTTCGTTCACGTCTCTAGTTTTCTATACTACCTCCGCTCATGTTTGCTAGGTGTGTATTCGGACTTGAATTAGTCTCCACTCATGTTTGCTAGGTGTATTAGGACTGGAAGAAGTCTTTAGAGGTATTTTGACCACCAGTTTATTCTCTCACAACATATTATAGAGCATGATTTTAGGAAAAATGTGTATTTTCCAAGCTAAATTAAATTTACTATGAATTTTCCTAGAATCACGCTATATCTTGTAATCCATAGATTGAAGTCATACATATTGGCTCCACGCTGTAGGAACTTCAGATGCATGTTTTTGTTCCTCAAATAAAGGAATATAAATATAGTATTAATATAATGATTGAACATAGGAGTACCACGCAAGGAGGAAATCACGTCATCTTATATGAGGCCAATCGTTTATGATAGGCACCCATGAAAAATGTAAATCTTATGAAAAAAAATCCATGAGAAGCTAACTAGGGGAAAAATGAAATCCTAAAAGAACATAAATTTGGTTGCATTTTTTTCTACAACAAAGACAAGAGCTAAATGTACGCCTTATATATTTATAAACAGAAAAAGAGACACTACTGGAAACAGAGACTTTGCCGAGTGCAAAATTCTTTGCCGAGTGTCAAAAATCGGGCACTCGGCAAAGACCTTCTTTGCCGAGTGCTGCACTCGGCAAAGAATTGCACTCGGCAAAGATTTCTTTGCCGAGTGCCGGAAACTCGGCAAAGGACTTCTTTGCCGAGTGGCAGACCCTCGGCAAAATCTCTACACTCGGCATAGGCTGCCCGTGAAACGGCGTCCTGTCACAGCCTTCTTTGCCGAGCGCCTGCGGTTAGTCACTCGGCAAAGATTTGTTTTTTTTTTGTTTTTAATTTCTTTGCCGAGTGCCCCAGATCTGGCACTCGGCAAAGATGTAAATTTTTTTTAAAAATTCTTTGCCGAGTGTCTCAGATCTGGCGCTCGGCAAAGAATTTTTTTTATTTTTAAATACTTTGCGAAAGTGCCCCTCAGAAGACTCGGCAAAGATTTAATTTTTTTTTATTATTTCTTTGTCGAGTGCTCCTGTGGATGCACTCGGCAAAGAGGAAATTTTTTAAAAAAAATTAAAACATTCTTTGCCGAGTGCCTGATGGCTGGCACTCGGCAAAGACACCATTTGCCGAGTGCAATGCCCCGGCGCTCGGCAAAGTTTTTTTGTTTTTTGGCCTCCAATTTTTTTGTGCAGCCTTTTTAAAGCACCAGGAACTCCTAGTTACAATTTAGGGATTTTTTGTGGCTTTTTGTTATATTTAATTACTTTATTTCGTTTACTTGAATTTTTCTGGAAATTAGAAATTTGAACTGCACGTGGTACGAATAATGGAGTTTAATGATTGGAAAATTGATAGTCATGTTAGTGAGTGTTGTGAGAGGCAGTATCCAGGAACGGACCCGAAATTTCGGACATCTTGTTCACGAAACATGTCCGCGAAATTATGTGTGAAGTGTTTATAAATTCTATAAAAAGCAAACGAAGTCCGAAAATCATGAAACTTGTTGAGATGTCGTGATATCATATGTGGAGGCTATGATAAAAATTTCAAAAGATTTTGCACGTTGTCACGTCACGATGCTTACAAACCGGAGATACCAAGACAAAGTATCTCGATATCACATGTGGAGATGTCACGGTTTGTAAGCATCATACGTGACAACGCAACGAAAATCTTCTGAAATTTTTATCATAGCCTCCACATATGATATCACGACATCTCAACATGTTTCATGATTTTCGACTTCGCTTGCTTTTTATAGAATTTATAAACACTTCACACGCAATTTCGCGACATGTTTCGTGAACAAGATGTCCGAAATTTCGGGTCCGCTCTCGGATACGGCCATCTCTCACAACACTCACTAACATGACTATCAATTTTCAATCATTAAACTCCATTATTCGTATTTCGCGGCCTTCAAATTTCTAATTTCCTAAAAATTCAAGTAAACGAAATAAAGTAACTAAATATAACAAAAAGCCACAAAAAATCCCTAAATTGTAACTAGGAGTTCTTTCGCTTTTAAAAAGGCTCGCACAAAAAAATTGAAGGCCAAAAACAAAAAAAAAAAAAAAATTTGCCGAAAGTGCCTCAACGGCATGGCACTTAAGAAGGGTGTTTTCTTTGCCGAAAAGCCGCCCATCGTGCACACGACAAAGAATGTTTTAAATTTTTTTAAAATTTTTTTGCCGAAAGTGCATCCACAGAGCACTCGGAAAGAAATAATAAAAAAAAAATATTTGCCGAAAGTGCGCCCTAGGGGCACTCGACAAAGATACCTTCACCGCGCCGAAGCGCCAGATTTGAGACGCCGCCAAAAGAATTTTAAAAATTTACATCTTTGCCGAAAGTGCGATCCGGGGCACTCGCCCAATTTAAAACAAAAATCATATCTTTGCCGAAAGTTTCCTCGATCCCAAGACTTCAAAGAAAGCATGACTTAGCTTCCCAAGATTGTATTTAGCCCACAATTCACCACCATTTCTCTATGCTACAAGTAGCCCTCGCCACCACACCATGCATTACCTTCTTTACCACATTACACCCGCCAATTTTTTGAACATTATTTTGTACCACACACACACCGCCATGCTTTTAGCGCCCCACTTGATTCCCGCTGCCAACAAACCGCGGCCACCCTGCCAAGCCGCCATTCCCCGCCAAGCCATGAACAGCACTTGCCCCGCTGCCCCTTCCCTAGTCACACACAACACGCTCACACCCAAAGCCAGACCGCCCCGGTGGCTCCTTCCCCTGCCCACACCCATACATACTAGCCACCCTTAGCGCCTCCGGCCATTTTTTTTCTGCCTTGCCTCGCCTTGACGTGCCCGTGGACCACCATTGCCTGCGCCATCCGTGCTCGACCCCGTCCTCGACTTTGCCCGATCCCGACGCCGCCCTCCCCTACCTCGTCGCCCGTCAGGTATGCCTTCTCACTTATTATTATCGAGGTAGTGGTAGTTGTAGTAGTATTAGTTGTACTAGTGGTAGTATTAGTACAACTAGTGGTAGTATTAGTAGTAGAATTAGTGGTAGTAGTAGTAGAAGTAGTGGTAGTAGTAGTAGTACAACTAATGGTAGTAGTTGTAGCAATAGTGGTAGTAGTAGAAGAACCAACGGTAGTAGTAGTAGCAATAGTGAAAGTAGTAGTACAAGTAGTGGTACTACTTGGATATATTCTTCTGCATGGATTGATATCCAAACTACATGGCTTCTGTTGAGCCATATGTGCTTGTCGGCCATCGTGCCGTTGTTTTTTGCAGGTTTTGGAAACCTCACCGTGCAGGGGAGGTTCTGCCGAATTTTTTTGTAAATGATAGTATTTTGTTCCATTTTTGTAGAGAAGAGCCCGTCAGAGTTGAGTCGGAGTTCTCGCCACCGTGTCGGTCTGCCTGCACCATGTCGTCTCGCCACTGCACCGACCCGCCACGGCCCCACTAGCCTGACTCCGTCGCCACCCTAGGTATAACCCCTCTTTTCGTATCATTGTCGTAGATCGCGTAACCTAGTTAGGCGTCTCCCGTTCGAAAGAGATACGGTTGGAGGTATGCAGATCTTTGCATATCTATGACCGTATCTATTTCGGATTGTCCACGCTTTTTGGACAGCCCGCGGATGCGTAGATGGGTTAGTTTCCATGTTCTGCTCTAGTCCGAGATAGAGTTTCGTCATCACCTCCCTGTTGTTCTCTGGATACACACTCTTCTTTGACAGGACGTGTATCTGGAGAACAGCGGGGAGGTGCTGCCGAAATTCTGTCTCGGATAGGAGTAGAGCATGGAAACTAACCTCATCTACGCATCTGCGGGTGGGATTAGGACCTATCCTCACCTATTAGACAGTAGGAACACCATGTAGATGCAATTGATGGTTACATTACTCGTCGATACATATGTTAGAGGATGGATGACCGTCGATGGGATGTACACGGGCGGAGAAGTCGAGTGATTACACCACGGAATGGATGAACAAGACCGATGCTTTCTTGAATAAAGGCATTTGGCAACGCTAAAGGACATTGCCTAGTTTTGTGTCCCTACAAACAAATGTGGAAAAACAGGAGAAGGGTAAACAAGGTGGAA